TTATTTAACTTGTAATTTTTTTCAGGGGCGCAATTTCTGACACACCTTGTATACAAAGTATGTTTTACACCTTATACCTACGTGTAAAATCTAATTCATTTGGTATAATTTTTTTTTTGATAATTTAATTTTTTATGTTAAATTATTATTCACCCGGTATATATTTTTTTAAACAATTGATGTTTTCTTTGTTAAAATATTAATCAATCGATATATTTGTTCTTTTTATAGATTAATCTTGTTGGTCAAAACTTTTTTTAAAATCTTGGTGTTTTGTTCTATTTTTTTATTTACTTTTTTTTTCAATAGTTTCAAACATTATTTACAAAAACATTAAAATAGTAAAAATTGTTAGTTAGTTACTTAAGACATGACTCAAGACGGTGGAACGGTAAAAAATGAATCACCCGGTATTATTTAAAACAATTAAATTAGAATACAGTATGTCCCCGGACTGAGTTTACAAGAGGAAATTTTTTTTTATCTATAATTTTACGCCAAAACTGCAAAGGAAAAACATTTTTTGCTTCATCTGAAACGAGCAAATCTGTAATTAAAACTTCATTACTCAGATTCATTAGAAAGAAAAGTTCATTTTTCTCTTGATTTTGGACTTTCTCTGCTTTTTAAGTCCTATAACATTGGAGGTTTTATTATTTTGACAATGAGTTTTCTCAAGTTAAATAAGATGTTTGTAAAAAACATAATATTAATACAGCAACTCAAAGAAACAATTTTAAGGTAAAAACCAAAGTCATTTTTAACAAGAACTATTAATATTTAATTAATAAATTAATTGTCAAAGTGACATATAGTTGTCAAATAATTAAAACCGCCAATGTGATAAGACTTAAAAAGCAAAGAAAAATTATTAAAGACCAAAATCAAGAGAAAAATGAACTTTTCTTTCTACTGACTTAGAATAATGAAGTTTTAATTACAGATTTGCTGGTTTCAAGTAAAGCAAAAAAATTAAAGATAATTTTTTTCTCCTCTTGTAAACTCAATCCGGGGACATACTGTATATTTTTTAAATAATGGATGTTTTCTTTCTTAAAATATTAATCACTCGGTATATTTGTTCTTTTTCTAGATTAATCTTATTGGTCAAAATTTTTTTTCAAATTTTGGTGTTTTGTTCTATGTTTTTATTTACTTTTTTTTTCAATAGTTTCAAACATTATTTACAAAAACATTAAAATAGTAAGAATTGTTAGTTAGTTACTTAAGACATGACTCAAGACGGTGGAACGGTAAAAAATGAATCACCCTGTATTATTTAAAACAATTGTATTAGAATATATCGATGCCTCTAGACGCATTTTTGCCATTTTTTACGAATGAAACTTAGTTAAATTTTGTTTTCAGACGCCACACGTGTAAAATGTTTGCCACATTGACATTGACATTCTATTTTCTCTCTCCTGTCCACCTCCCCTATACGTTGTAACACACTTTACTAATTGCTCTTACACAATCCCATAATGTTTAATGACAGATCGTACATGAGCCAAAACAATGCTTTTTAATGTTAGGAAACCGTTGGGAGCGACCATGAATATTTCCCAGATATTTAACATATTAATAGAAAAAAAAATATATTGCCGCGAAAATTTAAATTTTCACCCGCATCGACTTTCATTCTTGCACAATGGAGTGTTTTTCGGTGTTCGAATTGCGGTGAAATTGCCTAAAAATAGCGAACGAAAGTAGAGTGCGGTGATAAAGGCAAAAACAGAACAATGACCCTGTTTACACTATCACTACTTTTCCTATCTTGTTGCATAATTGCAACATTGGCATTGTTGGAAAATTGCTTCGACTACCTACTCAAAAATCAATATAGCCTGGAAAAACTTTCGTATAATAACAACAGAAGTGAGAAAATCTTATGTCATGTTAATTTTTTTGTTGTTTAGTTGGCAGTCTTGACCGACGATTGCGTCATTTAATAACTAAATCATTTCATTTGAAAAAATTAATTCATATCTAGTCACGGACATTACAATTATGTCGTTTTTTCTTGCTTGTTTATTTATAGACAGAAATATGTAGGTTATACAAGGCAATTAAAAAAGATGGTAAAAACAGTTTTGAAATAAAGTCCAACATTTGGTATATATTTTTTTGGCCTCGACAACTGTAATTTACATTTTTGACAGCTACAATAGGTCATTTTTACAAGGCATCTGTCAAGTTTACTGCACGTCATGCTTCAAAAAATAATTTTATGCTAAATGAAGTATTGTCAAGATACCACAAATAAACACAATTTATTTAAGTTTTAGTATTTTTTAAAGCACTCAGCTTCTCTTCGTGTTTCAATATTAAAATGTCTAAAATACCTACCGCACCTATAAATAACTATTGTTATTTTTATTTTTTTTTTAATTGGAATAAATAAATCAATCGACAAAACGTTTTTAGGTAAAAAACATAAACAAAAAGGTATTTTTGTAATACTTAGTTTCAATATTTTAATTTGTGACAATTGTACCTTTTGCTACGTTTTTAGAAAATTGCGAATTTTTAAATAAAAAAATGAGTTTAAGGACAAAACATGAGTCACTCTGTATAACCAAAATTACTTTTTTGATTTTCTATAAATTTGCTAAAACAGAATTTGGTGGTAAATCTTGAATTATGTTCTATAATAACAAATTTTTTATAAACACATTTAATTAGACATTTTATTTACTTGAGAAAAAAATTGTAAATTTTGGGAAAAAATCAGAAAATAGATAATTTCGAATATTATTATTTTTTTCTACAATATAAATTAACTTTGTATTTGCAAATTTTTTGTTCAAAATACAGACTATAACAAAAAGGCTGCAATTTTTTTCCTACTTACACAATTCAAATTAATTTGAGTTGTAATTTAAATAAGAAAAAGTTAATTAAATGCTTTCAAGTAAAATCAAGGACAAAATTTATGCATGTCCCCATTTAAAGATAATTCTAAAATATTGT